TCTAAAAACTCAGATAAAAATGAAATTAATTTCCCATTAATCTTCCCAAAGCCCAGCAGGCTCCAGGAGCAGTTTCTGAGCTGGGATTCTGAATTTCCTGGGAGGTTTCAGCCTTTGAGGGCAATTCTGGGGCTGGGACTCCTGAATTTCATCAGAGATCAGAGCAGGGCTGCCAGGAGCTCACCTGCCCCTACTGAAGGGAATTTTTATTTTTAGTAATTCATTTAGTGGTTTATTTTTAGTAATTATTTGGTAGTTTTAATTTTTAGTAATTCATTTCGTATTTATTTTTAGTAATTAATGTAGTAATTTATTTTTAGTAATTATTTCATATGGTTTTATTTTTAGTAATTATTTAGTAGTTTATTTTAGTAGTTTATTTAGTAGTTTATTTTTAGTAGTTTAGTAGCATATTTTTAGTAATGATTTAGTATTTTTTATTTGTAGCAGTTAATTTCGTATTCTATTTTTAGTAACTAATTTAGTATTTATTTTTAGTAATTAATTTCGTATTTTGTTTTTAGTAATGATTTAATCTTTTTAAAAATTTTTAGCAATTAATTCAGTATTTTATATTTAGTAAGTACTTAGTATTTTTTATTTTTAGTAAGGAATTTCATATTTTTTATTTGGTCATGATTTAGTATTTGAAACTAGTATTAATTACTATATTTACTATAAATATTAAATGTTAGGAATTATTAATATAAAATATAAATGACTATAAATTATGAATTTGTAGTACACACAGAGAGCCCTGGGGACACAGAATCCTGGGGACAAGGAGCTTTGCTGGGGACACAGCTGTGGGGACACAGCCCTGGGGAGTGACAGAGCCTGATCCTGGTGTCCCCTGCCTTGTAAACAAGGAGCTCTGTGGGGGACACTCAGAGCTTTGGGGACACAGAGCTTAGGGGGACACAGAGCTTTGGGGGGACACACAGAGCTTTGGGGACACAGCCCTGGGGGGACACAGAGCTTTGGGGTCACACACAGAGCTTTGGGGGACACACAGAGCTTTGGGGACACACTCAGAGCTTTGGGGTGACACAGAGCTTTGGGGGACACAGCCCTGAAGGGACACAGAGCTTTGGGGACACCCACAGCCCTGGTGGGCGACAGTTCCTGACCCTGCTGTCCCCTCATTGCAGACAAGGAGCTCTGCTGGGGACACCCAGAGCCCTGGGGACACACACAGAGCTTTGGGGTCACACAGCTTAGGGGGACACAGAGCTTTGGGGACACAGCCCTGAAGGGACACAGAGCTTTGGGGACACAGAGCTTTGGGGACACCCATAGCCCTGGTGGGTGACAGACCCTGACCCCGCTGTCCCCCCTCATTGCAGACAAGGAGCTCTGCTGGGGACACCGAGCTTTTAGGGGACACAGAGCTTTGGGGGACAAAGAGCTTTGGGGACACAGCCCTGGGGGGACACAGAGTTTTGGGGACACACACAGAGCTTTGGGGGACGCAGAGCTTTGGGGACACACTCAGAGCTTTGGGGACACAGAACTTTGGGGACACGGAGCTTAGGGGGACACAGAGCTTTGGGGACACCCATAGCCCTGGTGGGCAACAGTTCCTGACCCTGCTGTCCCCTCATTGCAGACAAGGAGCTCTGCTGGGGACACACAGCCCTGGGGACACAGAGCTTTGGGGACACAGAGCTTACGGGGACACAGAGCTTTGGGGACACACACAGAGCTTTGGGGACACAGAGCTTTGGGGACACCCATAGCCCTGGTGGGTGACAGTTCCTGACCCTGCTGTCCCCTCATTGCAGACAAGGAGCTCTGCTGGGGACACACAGAGCCCTGGGGACACTCAACCCTGGGGATATACAGCCCTGGGGACACAGAGCTTTGGGGACACAGAGCTTTGGGGACACACTCAGAGCTTTGGGGACAGTGAGCTGTGCTGGGGACACACTCAGAGCTTTGGGGACACAGAGCTTTGGGGACAGTGAGCTGTGCTGGGGACACACTCAGAGCTTTGGGGACACCCTCAGAGCTTTGGGGACACCCACAGAGCTTTGGGGACACCCANCACTGATTTTTTCCCCTTTCTGCCCCATTTCTGGCAGGCACCATGTGCACTACATCATCCCATACATTGTGCTTTCCCTCCTTTTTTATGCTTTTCTCTGCTGGCACAGAGAGCCAGGGCAGCAATTGTACTGCTGGGGATGGTGGGATAAAAACCAGCAGAAGAGTTTTCACTGATTTTTGGGGTTTTTGCCCCGTTCCCGGCAGGCACCACGTGCACTACGTGATCCCGTACGACGGGGACCAGTCGGTGGTGGACTCGTCGGAGAATTACTTTGTGACCGACAATGTGACCAAGCAGGAGATCGACCTCATGCTGGGGCTGCTGCTGGGCTTCTGCATCAGCTGGTTCCTGGTGTGGATGGACGGCGTCCTGCACTACGCCGTGCGCGCCTGGCGCGCCAGCCGCCGATACGGTGCGTCACCTTCATCGTCCTCATCGTCCTCATCTTCTCGTCCTCATTGTCCTCATCTTCGTCATCTTCTCATCTTCACCATCTTCATCTTCCTCCCCATCCTCATCTTCTCCTCGTCCTCATTGTCCTCATCGTCCTCATCTTCGTCATCTTCCTCCTCCTGTCCTCCTCGTTGTCCTCATCTTCATCATCTTCCTCATCGTCCTCATCTTCTCATCCTCATCATCTTCATCTTCCTCCTTGTCCTCATCTTCTCCTCGTCCTCATCGTCCTCATCTTCTCATCCTCATCATCTTCATCTTCTTCCTTATCCTCATCTTCTCCTCTTCCTCATTGTCCTCATCTTCGTCATCTTCTCATCTTCCTCCTCCTGTCCTCCTCGTTGTCCTCATCTTCATCATCTTCCTCCTCCTCATCTTCTCCTCCTCATCTTTGTCTTCTTCACCATCTTCTCATCTTCATTATCTTCATCATCTTAATCTTCATCATCTTCCTCCTTGTCCTCATTTTCATCATCTTCCTCTTCCTCATCATCTTCTCCTCCTCATCCTCATCTTCTTCATCATCTTCTCATCTTCCTCCTCCTCTTCTCCTCCTCTTCTTCTCCTCTTCCTCCTCATCTTCCTCATCTTCTCATCTTCATAATCTTCTTTCTCATCTTCATCATCATCATCCTCCTCATCATCATCTTCTCATCTTCCTCATCTTCACATCTTCATCATCTTCTCTTACTCATAATCTTCACAATCTTCCTCATCCTCTCATCTTCATCAGCTTCATCATCTTTCTCCTCATCTTCGTCATCTTCCTCCTCATCATCTTCTCCTCATCTTCTTCATCTTCATCATTCTTGTCCTCATCTTCTCCCCTTCCTCATCCTCCTCATCTTCCTCATAATCTTCTCATCTTCCTCATCGTCTCCTCTTTCTTCTCTCCTTCCTCATGTTCCTCATCTTTTCCTCTTCCTCATCCTCCTCCTCATCTTCTCCTCTTCATCATATTCCTCCTCACCTTCTCCTCTTCCTCATCTTCTCCTCTTCCTCTTCCTCCTTCTCTTCATCCTCTTCTTCCTCCTCCTCCTCTTCTCCTTTTCCTCCTCCTTTATTCCCTTTCCTATTTCCATTATTATTTCCATTATTATTTCCATTATTATTTCCATTATTATTTCCATTATTCCCATTATTTCCATTATTTCCATTATTTCCATTATTCCCATTTCCATCCCTTCCCACCCCTCACCCCTGGCCAGATGTGGAGAGGTTTTTATTCACTTGTGCCACCAAAACCAAAAACCCTTGGGCACAGTTTGGTTTGGAGCAGCAAAATCCTGAATTAACCCCGGGAAGGCCCAGCAGACCCCTCAGAGCCTCCTCTGCCCCATTCCCCCTCAGCCCCTGCGTTTCTGTATTTGGAGGAGATAAAATGACAGGAAAATGAGGGAATGACTGGAAATTCCCTCCAAAAGTGCCCAAAAATCTCATTTTTCCAGCCCTGACTGATGGTGCTGCTGAGCCCAGCTCAGGGAAGGAGCAGCAGGAAGATTTATCTGCAGGCCCATAAGAAATTCTAATTAGAAACGTGGAGTCTCTTTCTAAAAACTCAGATAAAAATGAAATTAATTTCCCATTAATCTTCCCAAAGCCCAGCAGGCTCCAGGAGCAGTTTCTGAGCTGGGATTCTGAATTTCCTGGGAGGTTTCAGCCTTTGAGGGCAATTCTGGGGCTGGGACTCCTGAATTTCATCAGAGATCAGAGCAGGGCTGCCAGGAGCTCACCTGCCCCTACTGAAGGGAATTTTTATTTTTAGTAATTCATTTAGTGGTTTATTTTTAGTAATTATTTGGTAGTTTTAATTTTTAGTAATTCATTTCGTATTTATTTTTAGTAATTAATGTAGTAATTTATTTTTAGTAATTATTTCATATGGTTTTATTTTTAGTAATTATTTAGTAGTTTATTTTAGTAGTTTATTTAGTAGTTTATTTTTAGTAGTTTAGTAGCATATTTTTAGTAATGATTTAGTATTTTTTATTTGTAGCAGTTAATTTCGTATTCTATTTTTAGTAACTAATTTAGTATTTATTTTTAGTAATTAATTTCGTATTTTGTTTTTAGTAATGATTTAATCTTTTTAAAAATTTTTAGCAATTAATTCAGTATTTTATATTTAGTAAGTACTTAGTATTTTTTATTTTTAGTAAGGAATTTCATATTTTTTATTTGGTCATGATTTAGTATTTGAAACTAGTATTAATTACTATATTTACTATAAATATTAAATGTTAGGAATTATTAATATAAAATATAAATGACTATAAATTATGAATTTGTAGTACACACAGAGAGCCCTGGGGACACAGAATCCTGGGGACAAGGAGCTTTGCTGGGGACACAGC